TACAAGTGAGCAAAAACAGCTTTATTAAAGTGTATTTTCTTTGCTGTGTCGTTTACAGGAAGCGGTGCGCCGTCTTCACAACTCCGAGACGAACTACGTGCGCCCGTCTCCTCTTCTTTGAGTCAGTTCCTCTCCTCCATGGACAGAAACCCGCAGAGTCCCGAACGCTTCAGTGGAGCGAATCGCTCGTTGATATCGGCAGTTTGTTGTTGGAGTGACGAGACAATCCACTGAGAGCTTTCAGCAGCTTCTTCTCGTCTGTCTGCGGACTGGCCGAAAGTTGGTGACCGCGGAGAGGAGTTGAAGGCGAGTTGAACGCGAGACGTCGTCCCGCCATTATTCACGAACCAGCAAAGACCAAACAAAGGATATGGAGATACAGTTCTTCTGAATATAGTAACACACACGTGTCTGTTTGTATGCTCGTCTTGCAAGTACTGCTGTATCAGTCATGCCTATGACCTCACACGTGATTGGACGAGGAGTCTAAGGGTCCTCCAATCACATACGAGGTTATTGTTATACGGAAGGACCAGTATTTTAGGAAGACAAATGGTTGGGACTTTGAAACAGCTGATATGCTTTATGTAAAGCAGTGTTTTGGTGTCAGCAGAACGACTTTCCCTAGAAAACTGTACAGTGGTGCCTCTTTCTCCATTCCACCAGACAATCTTGAGTCTGACAGACATGCAATGTTGACAATGTATCATCAGATGTACCCTTGTGTCACTGAGGTTGAATGTTTTGCCATGACATGTAAACGGGTAACATATATGAATGTAACTTACTCAATCGATAGATGCAGAGCATAAAGGTCAGCATATGTTTATTCTAAGTGGTGTGGAAACACTAACAGTTTTGAGGACCCGTCCTTGACCCTCTAGCAGAACTGCGACCAGCCATTATTAAGCAGTTTATAGTTGTTAATGTTGTGTCAAAGGGTACGGCATTTAAACATGTTCTTGCACAAGTTTCCTGGCTTCATCTCCACCTGGACAGACATTTTTATGGAAAGCCAATAGAAGTTTGGGCCTTGCAGGGAACAGACACGTCATACCCAGCATCATTTCTGCCAGTTGAGCGCATTGCTAGAAGATGTGTGGTTAATACATCCTCTGTGCATTTAAGTAAGACCAAAGAAAAGGTCACTGTAGTCCTGCCACTATGCACTGTAGTTGAGCTCTAGGAGACTGATCTCTGCAGACCCCTCATGCTGATTCAAATGTTGTTTGCATGGAATGCTCATTATACCTTGATTAAAACTCATCTTTTAGAAGAAGTTATTTTGTGTATCTTTTTTACATAACATTTGCCATTGCTAATGGCGTACACAGTAATCTAGCATATTTTAATTAAATAAATCAATTCAAGCTAAAATGTAAGTCTATAATTAGGCTACTGAGCCTGATCTATTTGTACCAGAGATTTTCTTATCTTTTAAAAAAACCTGGGCTAAAACTCCCTCTGCGACCCTGATTTGCATTTGTATAGCTCACAGCATTTTCATTTACATGACAAAGCCTCCCCTAGAATTAGGAGGAGGGGGGTCATGGGGGGACAACTGCCAAGGGAGGCCCACATAAATTTCTGACAATTTCTGGCAGTTTTGCCGTAAACCTGAAATTCCACGACAATTTACACTGCCGCATACTGCCGAAAATCCCACTTTTCATGCAGTGAGAGGGTCAGAGTTTATTTGCTGACTTTTTTCAGGTGCATTGATAGATGTATTGTGTCCGTACGCATCGCATCGCACAGTACTGATTCATTGTTGTTTTTATAGCTGCTGGAATCGAGACAAAGTGTGCTGTCTGATGACAAGGTGGAACCTCAAGCGGTTTTTAAACCGCCGTTACCCAAGTGTGGGCAGATCCTTACTTTGTATGTAGTTGTTGTTTGTGTGTTGTTAATAAAGCTCTTTCTTTGCATAAACATGTGGCAAATGTTCATTTTCTCTATAAATTCATTAATGTCCTGGTTGGTATCCTAATAATAGTGTAGTAGCCTACATAGGATAACCATGAAATGAATATACAGCATAATATGAATATATAAATATATATAATAAAATGAGGCGGGTGACCAATAGGGACAGATCTGCCAACCAATCACGAGTGATTGAAAGTTGTGGTTTCATCCAATCATGAACAAGGAAACTCAAGCCTGGTCTGCCCACGTGTGGTTTTGCTGCCAATCACGAGTGATTTTATTTGTTCGTAAGTTGTGGTTTCATCCAATAAGGAGTAAGGATATTCAAGCCCGCTCGGCTCGGCCACCCGCGGTTTTGCTGCATTCATATGCTAATTCGGGCCATTCGCACCTCCGCCAGCTCTCCACCTACGTCATGGTTAGTTTCCGACAATTTGTCGCACAGACAAACGTGACGTGCGCGGGTTGCAAATTGTCGGAGATTTCCGGGCGTTTACGGGGACGAAAATCTCATTTTTCATGCAGTGCAAGGCACACTTAAAAGGCTTTAATTTCCTCAAAAAACGGCAGTGCCTTATAATCTGGAGCGCCTTATATATATGGATCAATTGGTTAATCGGTTGATCCATACTGGTTGTACACGGCGCTCAAGGCGCTCTACCAAACATGCCAAAGCTCGTCTACGACGGCGAGATGCTGAGCGGAGCTCAAGCACGTGAGATATGGAGCTTGTTTCAGGGCGCGTCGGAGAAACAAAGCTGTCCTTCTTGCCGAGCATTTCATGAGATTAAAGAGCGAGAGACGGTGCCCTTTTCTCTATAGTAGCTGAACCATCTTAACGGGGAAAATAAGATATTCTAAAAGCAGCCGAAGATTTAAGGCGTGGATGGCAAGGGGGGGCGGCGGGAGCAGACGCACCTCGCAGCATCGATCGGACCCTGAAAGCACCGTCTCCACCTTACTGTCAAAAACAACAACAGCGAGCGCGTAGAAAACTCCTTTGAGCGCGAGCAGAGATTCTCCTCGCGAGCAACGAAGTTCACGTTTCGCAAGCGAGCAAATACCTCGAGGAGACAAACTTTTGCTTTATTTCATCATTTTTCATTATGTTTTGAGAGAGATGAGATGAGATGTTTAGAGTTGTGATTAAAGGTTTGGGTGGGCCGCGAAAGATTTTCAGATTTCAAATTGGGCCGCGGCATTCTTGAGTTTGGGAACCGCTGCCATACATATATACAGGGCTGTAGTGGAGGGTAAATGCACGTAAACGCCGTTTACGCACCTCTGGAATTTTGGAAATAGCGTTTACGCACCTCTAAGTGGCGTTCGCACCTCAAAATTCCCTGCGCCTTGTATTCTTCCGTTGGAATAATCCGAAATAAACTTGGTGTAATTTTAAAACAGCTAAGACTACGTTTCCTATTGTTGAACATATAAACGCCGTAGTCTGAATCATTTTCATCTGCGCTGTATTATAGTCTGTGACCATCCAATCAGTGCCTTGCGGCTGCAGCAGCGACTACAATCAGGATCCAGGAGGTGTGTAAACACATACACGTTGTGGATTAGCCTGCCTGTCTACCTGTGTAATATTCGTGTGCGTGCACTGACATTTAATTGTCTAAGTACAACACGTACCAGTGAGTTTCTTTTAGTCTGCGCTGTATTCGTCCATCTTTATTAGTGCATATTTACTTCTGCGCATAAACGCGCACCTTGATGACCTCATCACACCATGACAGACATTTGAACCGGAAGTATCCAAGATACTACAGAATGGATTACCGCCGGTAATTAGCAATGGATATCAGGCGATATTTGTAGAGACCATTGAGTGCTCCCACTCCCACAGATGCCCGCAAAAGGCCTCAAGTACAAAGTTAGACTGAAGAAGATCAATTCACGTTTTTAAACGTTGTTTTGGTTCGCACAACATCGCATTAAGACTGGGACAAACGCTACTAATAACGTGCTTTCAAATACGATGATGCAGGTAACAAGCCAGCCTTCCCGGTCCCATCTAAATAGGTCTAATAAAATGAGTAATCATCCTCACCCATATTGCTGCAGATTAGGCCAATTCATTGAAAAATTGTCAACAGATTATGTGCAAGCCAGTTAGACAAAGCTAAGAGAAATGCTAAGTGAAATGTTTTAGTTTAGCTATAGAATCTTCAATAGCTCGGTCAAAGTCAAATATATTCGTTTTTTACTTTCATGATGGCATCATGTCCTGCTCTCGCATAGAAAACGTGAGCGGGGAGCAAAGCTGTTGCTTCACTGAATAGGCCTATATGCTTAATCAATTATTTGAAGTAATGAAAGGTGTAGAGTAGCCTGTAAGCAAAATGCACTGTAAACATAGATTATTTGAAAACAAGTCAGTTCTCAATGTGAAAAAACATGCTGTATAGGCTATTTATGATGACATAGGGTAGTACATGAGTGTTCCTTTAACTTATGTTGTCAGTGTAATTGACAGGCTGCTTAATTGGTGTTCTCAGCCCCACAACTCTTAAATTCAACATATTTTTTCAGGCAGTGATAGGACAGGCAATGATGCAGAGAGGACAGGGAGAGGAGAAACACCAGGTCGAATAGTGAGAGAACGGCTGATGAGAGAACAAAATCATGACAGTGGAGAACCAAAGAGTGGAGAAGAGGAAAGGGGAGGAAATGAAAGAAGACCAACAGAGAATGAAGAAACAGAGAAAGGGGAGACAGAGAAAGATGAAATAGAGGGAGGAGATGAAGAAACAGGTAGTAAGAGAGGAGTAAGAGAAGAAACAGGGGCAGGAGAGATGAGAGTGGAGAATCTGAATTAGAATCTGAAGTAGAGGGAGATACAGAGGAAGAAGAACCTGAAACTGAAGACACAGTGAGAGGAGAAATAGAGAGCAGATGCCACCCACATATCTGGACAGAAAACATAATGCAATATAGCCAGGACAGCCTTGCAGAGTCGCGACGCTTTGTGTTGCGTTGCTTCGCATCGCGTCGAGGTCTGTATGATCACAAAATTCAGAGTTTACCCACCTCTAATTTTACCACTACAGCACTTCATATATATATATATATATATTATGCAGAAAGGTAGTCTACATGCACGTGCACATTCATACACAATTAGAGGTGTACCCCTCCCACTCTGTCATATAAATCATGCATGTCCTGTCTTTAAGAAAAATCCGGAATGTGAACACGGATGCTGGATCAGTTAATACTTTACAATTACCGCTTCAACTCTGAGCCGTCACAGTTGTCATGTTAACAGCCCTTAACAAGGACAAACACATTATTTTATTAATTTGTATTTATTATAAATATAACACTACAGTGGAAAGGTTAATGAGACATTTTTGATAATAATAAAACTTTAAATTATGACATTGTTGTTTTTACACGGTAACACTTAAACAGGTCTCCTTCCTTTTAGGCAGCAATTACTGTCAGTTCATTACTATGAAACTCAACTTCATAAACCAATGGCTGCATGGGAGTACAAAACTGCATGTTTCTGAGAAAGCAATTTATGTGAGTTTAGAAGAGTGCTTTAGACTTGTCATGGGGTCACTGACCTGTGGTGTGCACTGCAGATGAGATGCTCTTGGAAAGAGGAGGGGAATTGTGTCTTTCCTCCCAATTAGCAAAGGCCAGATCAGTGTCTCCTTTAACCCCCTGCGTAGCTGTTTAACCTGTCTTGAGGTTCTTCCAAGGATCTGAAAAATATTTTCATTACAAAAAGCAAAGTCGCCATACTAATCTAACTAATTTGCGTGATACAATAACATCTGTGTGTAGCACAAAAAAGAATGTGAAATACAACATTTTGAATCCGAACTTCTACGGTTGTTTGTCTGTTTGGTTTAAATGATCTTTGAAGGAGAGATAAGAATACTCACTGCGTGGAGGATCAGCTTGTCCAGCAGCCATCTTCTGTTCTCAGATGTGACTTGAGGCAAATCCCAAGACAGTACCAACTCATTAATATTGTTCTTATCTTCTGATGACAATTCTCCTGTACCCTCCAGCTAACAATGAAAATTGGAATAGATTTCAATTAGAATTCCGGATATCTAAAGACTTTAGAATTTATACAACAAATAGGGAAAGAACAACTTGTCAACACCCAGAGATCTCAAACCACATGTAAAATATTCTAATTTCTTAGCTTTTTCAGCATGTTGTTGGGAAACTTTTTAAACTTCCTCTGAAAAAACATTAACTTAATTAACTATGCGATTGTAGTATTATACAGTATATCCAAGAAAATTGTCTGACATCAGGTATTATTTGCCCCAAATATATATCATTAAAATGTACATTACCACTTTGATTGTCTCACGGATATCAAGGTCAGCACAGTCCTTAATATCGATTATCGCTTCTTCTGGGGATCCACCAAAGAGCACATCCAGGATAGCTGGGCTCAGTCCTCCAAGGCAAGGCCCATCATGGAGGAATGAATGACCAATCATTCGGCCAGAAACAACAAAGAAGTCACTCTCCAAAAGGTAATGCAAGGTGGAGGGAATCAGATAATCTTGTTCACCCTCAAAAAGAAGAGCTCCTCCTGGCACTTAAATTAAAAGAGAACAGGAACATCAAAAGGGAAGAATTTCAAGAACATATATTCAAACTATCATACAGAATCAGAATATTTTGTGTGATCACAGGATCAAAGCAGCTGAATCACTTTCGTTCTGGGTAAGTTGACAGATCCGTTATTAGCCTGATAGCTGACAACCAGCCATCAGTCAAAGAGTCAAAATAGTCACGTGCCAAAATTCATCTCAAAACCATGTTGCCGTTTGGACATGTTGGTTGCAAAGAAATGTCGAGTGACGCCATCACCAATAGCTGGATCTCCTGAAAAAAAATCAAAACACACAGTCTTGGCATCAGTTAAATTAATATATTATACTCTTTAGTTGTGTGTGTGTAACCAAATTTACCCTTGAGTGTGCATGTCAGGGGGCAAGCCCACTCAACATTGGCCATCTTATAAAAAGAAAGCAATGCCCTTTCCCTGTCCTCCGCACTGTCTCTCAGATCCATGGCAAGATACAAGGACTTTCCCGTTGCATGCTGGCTTAAAATATTTTCTTTGAAGGTCTTTGCTGCATCGCTGGGATTTGAAAGAATTTTCCAATCTAAAAAAGTTTTGAAATTGTTAAAACGAATACGGGATGAATTGATATGTAGAGAGCAAAAATGTATTGCAGTACATTGTTGCATGTTTAAATGATGTAACACACCTGGAAAGCCCCTCTCCTCAGTGGGAACCAGGTCAACTATCTCAGGAGCAGCCACATGTCCCTGAGGTGTTGTGTTGCTGGCCCTGGTTGTCTCACTTCTCTGTAGTCTTGTCAACATGCCGAACAATCTACCTTCACTTCGGGAGGCACTTTCTGTGGTGGTCACCCCAACGTCATTGATTGATTGACTGCCACTAAAAAAAAAGAATGGTCAAATAAATAGAATAAATCCAATCATATACAACTCTTCCCTCAAGACCAATATTTAGGACGATATCCAATATCGATATCTTTTGTTAGGACTTCCAAGTCTAATGCTCAATGTCTGGTGTACGATTTCTCGCATGAAATATTTAACATTTTAGTTCTGTAGAGCAATACCTCACGCATTCATCACTGTGAGCCTTGATTCTTGTGAAAGGGAACTCCTCTCCACATGTCAGACACTTCTGAAGGTGTCCGCCTAACTCATTACTGCCTCCTTGTTGAACTTCCTGTATAGATCATTTAAAAATGTAATGCAAGCTATACTTATGTGAGTTATGTGAATTTCCTTTTGGAACCCAAATTTAAAAGTTAGGAACTTACATGATCAAGATTGAGGTTTCTTTGCAGTGGTCGGACGAAAATTGTAGCATGACCGATCTGCATATGTGGATCTTTCAAATGTCTCACATGGTAACCCTCACTGGGACGAGGTATGAGGATCAGTTGGCGACTTCGTGTTGTTCCAGAGATTTTGAGCAACTCCAATCCTCCCCCTAGTCTGAGTTTTGGGATTGCCTCTAAAATAATTTCCCTAAATTCATCTGGATTGGTGTGACTACCTGAAAATAGAAGACAGTAATACTATCAAAAAACTTGAAATACTATTAACCTTTATTGTTTTTGAAAGGTAACTAAAAACGTCTTCACATCATGATGCCGGACATACCTTGGAATGTGAGACGTTTTTCTCCAAGCCCTGCAGCAGCAACTCTGTCTTTTGCGTATCGGTTGGGAACTATGGCTGCTTTTTTATCCTCAATACAGCAAAATAGGTGGGTGTAAGAACAAAGTGGTGCAGGCGTGGCAACAGACCGCCTCCTTGTTGTCCTCCTTCCTCCATTGTATGGACCAAACAGTCTTGAAACCTCAGCTAGAATGAAGTGAAGATAAGCTATAATCAGTGAATATGAGAATATGGGCATTGCAGAAGAAACTTGTTGGCTGACCAAACCCTAGCACACCCATGTGATCTGAAGCACAGCATCAACAAACTCCAATTTGAGACTCAAGGTCCAGATCGTACAACACAGTAAATAAATCACTCATAAATCACTCATCATGGCGATAGTTATTTAGTCCGCACAGGGGATTTAGCATGGGAACGTGTTCCCTGCAGAAACCTACCATCCACTGGGTGCCCGGGTGTAATGTTATGTGGCCGTGGAGGTGAAATTGGCACATTTGCGGTTCCAGGTGCTGCTGCTGCAAAAAAAAAGAAAAAAAGCGAAGGCTGGTTCAGTTTAATACAAGGTTTTTTTGTTGTATTGCTTATTATGTTGCCACCTTGAACAACAGTATTTAGCTAGCTAAACAACTGCTGTTGTTGTTATGCTGCCTAAACGTTTGAAAATACGTTTCAAGCTGTTCAGCCACATCTCTTAGCAAATCAGCCAGCGGCCGCCGGTTGGAAGCCATGAGCGCTGCTAGCAGCTTTTAGACGATACGGGATCGATTGCTTCTGTCTCGCTCTTCTACTTGACCAATCCTGCTCAAGAATGAGGTTCGGCCCATCGTAAGCTCATTTACATACGGACACAGAAATGTAGAAATAAATAAATGAAGAAATACAGAAATGTAGAAATAAATAAATAGTGAATGTAGAAATCTATTTATTTAATTATGTTCTGTTTAGATATCAACTTATATTAATACATGAATGTATTTATTTATTTATACATTTATTTATGTATTTATTTATTTATACATTTATTCATTTATTTATACATTTAATCATGTATTTATTTATTTATTTACACATTTATTCGTTTATTCATTTATTTATTTATACTTAAGTCATTTTTGGTCCTCCATACGTCGCGACAGGACAGGCAAACCAAGCAATTGCTTGGGGCCCCGAGCTGGCCAGGGGTCCCAAAACATCAACTGGTTAAGAGTCAAATGCAACGACAAACTCTGTGAGCGCCCCTCTGATAGTCAATGCAGTAAAGTGCAATGACACAGTTATCGGGATCCCCCCTCAAGGGGCCCCTCACTGGCGGGCTGACTGGAGGTGCTAGCGGTCGGCGGCCGGGTCACCCGGCACCCGCGCACACTGGTCGGATGCGTCACAACAACCGGGAGTTTTACGCGCGTCATTGATTTAGGAGGCTGTGATTGGAAAATGGAACTGGCGCTGTCACGGTGTGTGTGTGTGTGTGTGTGTGTGTGTGTGTGTAGCGGTTGTACTCTTGCTTGCGTTGTGTTGTTAAAATCACCACCAGGACACGGACCACATTCGGCTCGTATCGGCCGTTTATTGTGTGACGTTAAGACACCTGGCGAACACACACAAGTTAAGTTCTCAGAAGGAACCTCGTGGCATCATAACAGTTACACACCCTGCAGCAGACTAACTTTTTAGCTACAACATGACATACCTGGCGAACACACACAAGTTAAGTTCTCAGAAGGAACCTCGTGGCATCATAACAGTTACACACCCTGCAGCAGACTAACTTTTTAGCTACAGGGTGTCGCACCCACGTCCGCAGGGACCCACTAGAGGGCACCCACGTGACACCCTGTCATGACTCTTAGCGATGGCAAGTGGAGTCAAACACCTGTTACATTCCCCCCTGCTGATCTCCACTTGCTCATCCAAACCCCCCCAAAGAAACAAAATTCAACCAAACCACGAACATACCAGGTAAGTCATTCACAACATGAAAACAGAAAAAAAAATATATATTATTATTATTTTTTTTTGAATATTCAGTATAATAAAAATAAACGAAGATGTCTCGCAAACGTAAATGTACAGTACCATTTCAATCATTGACACCTCGTAGTCCAGCCAATGGCTATCCCTTAAGAATTAGAATGAGAAAGGGTAGCAAGTCCTTTCAACACCCACAGGAAAACATGCCCGTATACATGTTAATATACAAGATATCAAAGAATACATACAGTACAGTACAATACAATACATCCCACCCAGAGACACACACTACTGGTGGTCCTATACAGGGCTCTACCGTACAGAGAAAATACATAAAACTCATCCCAACAGTCAAAAAGAGACATAGAACATGTCACACTCACAAGTACTCAAAAAAAAACATCATAACCATGACAAAGCTTTCTGGTGCATTTGCTGGATAAGCCTCAAAACAGGTCTAACAGCCCTCCCACACCTAGTCCTCACCCCCAATGACCCCTCACTGCAAGCTGCGCTAATTCGAGGACAACGCTCATCCGACCTGACAAGAGAACCGCTGTCAGCAGGCTGTGCGTCAATTAGGGGCTCAGAGGCAACTGCTTGAGAGTCAGTCAAGACTGTCGGACCTTCCCGTTCAACAGGTAGGTCAATCACAGTCTCATCAGGGTCATCATTACCAGGAGCATCTGACGAAGCAGTCAGTGGATTCACGGTGGTGGCTGGGAGTCCAGAGACCCAGGACACCGTCCTGTCTTCAGGTGCACAGCTAGGCAGCGAAACAGAGCACATCTCATCTCCCAGCATGGAATCCTCTAAAGCACCAGTGTTCAGATCACTGCCACCAGAATCATCCTCAGACCCGGTCGGGAGGGGCAGGAAGTTTACAGGCATGATGAGATTCCTGTGGACTACTTTCTCCTGGTTTGTGGCACAATTCCTAATCCTGAAGGTGTGAGTGTTCTCCTGTTTCCCCACAACAGTGTAAAGGTGGCCATCCCAGCGATCAGCCAGTTTTCTTTTTCCTCGTTCACCTTTGTTGGCTAGCAGAACTCTGTCACCAACATCCACCGGGGAACCCTTAAGCTTCTTGTTATAAAGGTTTTCCTGTCTCCGCTGCTGCTTGGTGGTGGAGCACTGGGCAACCCTCATAGCGTCTGCCAAATCACGGCGGAGACACTGCACATAGGCATCATAATCCACCACCTGATCATCTAACAGAACAGAGCCAAACAACAAGTCAACAGGCAGCCTGGGAGTCCTGCCAAACATCAGTTGGAATGGGGCAAAGCCTGTGGTCTCATGTACTGTCGCGTTGTAAGAGAAAGTGAGAGATTTCAGTAGCTGGGGCCATCGGTGTTTGGCCTTTGGTGGAAGAGCTCTGATCATATTACCGAGGGTGCGGTTGAACCTCTCAACAGCTCCGTTGCCCATGGGGTGGTAGGGTGTAGTGTGAGATTTATGAACACCAGCAACCAGGAGCATCTCCTCAATCAGACTACTTTCAAAATTGGCTCCTTGGTCCGAGTGTACACGCTCAGGAAAGCCATACACACAGAAAAAGTTGTTCCAGAGTTGTTGCGCTACAGCCTTAGCAGATTGGTTGGGGCAGAGGTAAGCCTGGGCCAGCTTAGTAAAATGGTCAGTAACGACAAGAACATCTAGGGACCTGTTGGAGGAGTCCTCAGCCGACCAAAAGTCCACACAAACCAACTCCAGGGGTCTGGAGGTCGAAACGCTTTCAAGTGGTGCTCTCGCCTCAGGCTCGGGAGACTTGCTAACCACACAGCGACTACAGCCCCGCACATACTGCACCACGTCAGTCTCCATCCCCTGCCAGTAGAATCTTTGCCTAGTCAGATAGAGTGTCCGCCTCTGGCCTTGGTGACCTGCCTCATCATGTACGCCTTTAAGAACCTTCTCCTTTAGCGCAGAGGGCACCACATACTGGAAAGTTTTCCTCTTGGTAACAACGTCCTTGGAGACACGATACAGGGCACCCATGTTCAAGGTGAGTTTTTCCCAATGTCTAAGGAGCCGCAGGGCCTCAACCGGCTCAGCCGCACGCTCCCGCCTCGATGGACGCCGTCGACGTTCTACAAAGTGAAGCACCCGACTCAAACTGGGGTCTGCGCGCTGTAAATCCAATAGCTTATCTCTGGGTAGAGGGTGGACATCAGACAACTCATGTGGTTGAATGGATCGAACAAGTTGTGGCAATAGGAAGGCTTGTGATGGTAAACAGTCATGGTCCAAAGAACGCTCAAGCACCGCACACACCGCTTGGCGTGAGACAGAGGTCTCTGGGGCCAGGCCCCCCGGGTCCGCCTGCAACATAGCTGCTGGATCACATGACTGACGAAACACATCCTGTACATGGTCAGAATCCACAACACTTGCTTCTTCCAGTAGTGCGCCATACGGGACTCTAGTCAGTCGATGCAGCATACTCGGCTGAACAAAAGGCTCGCGACTGAGGGCGTCAGCAACCACATTTTTAGGGCCAGGAATGTACTTGATTTGAAAGTCATACGGAGCAAGTTTCGCCACCCACCTCTGCTCACAGGCATCAAGCTTTGGTTTAGTGAGAATGTAGGTCAGCGGGTTGTTGTCAGTCCACGCAGTGAACGGCTGGCCTTTCAACCAATGACTGAATTTGTCACAAACAGCCCATTTCAGAGCTAGAAACTCTAGCCTGTGCGCAGGATAACGTGATTGGGCATAATTGAGAGACTTGCTCGCAAAAGCCACTGGTCGTGCCACGTCATCGCCCTCCGCCAGTTGTGACAACACAGCACCAAGGCCATTGGATGAGGCATCAACGGACAGCAGGAATGGCTTACTGAAGTCGGGATGAGCCAATGTAGCATTTTCCAATAACGCCTGCTTCAACTTAGAGAAGGCTTCGCTGCATTCCGGGCTCCAATCAGCCAACGTTAGCTTCTTAGCCACAGGTCTCTTCCTACCTTTGCTATATTTCGGCTTTGTCACGCCAGATGTCAAGGCAAATAGAGGCTTGCTGATACTTGAGTATCCTTCAAAGAATTGTTGGTAAAACCCAACCATTCCAAGGAAGGATCTTACCTTGGATGGTGAGGGAATGTCTGTCCCCTCAACCATCAAATCCTCCTCACACAGATCCACAATAGCCTTAACCTTCTCTGGATCCGTGGAGATGCCTTCTTTACTCACAATGTGTCCCAGAAACTTTACCGACGGCCGCATGAAATGGCACTTCTTTGGCGCTAGCTTTAGGTTATGCGCTTCTAGCTTCTCAAACACCATTTCTAGTCTCTGCAAAGCTAACTGTTCATTGGGAGCAAAGACAAGGATGTCATCCAGATAGCACAAGAGGCTTAAAAAGTTTTGGTCACCAAAAATGGCCATCATCATCCTCATGAAGGTGGCAGGGCTGTTGCACAGCCCCTGCGGAAGCCTGTTGTATTCATACAATCCAAAAGGAGATGTGAACGCAGTGAACTTCTTATCCTCCTCATGGACCTCCACATTGTAGTATCCAGAAGTCAAGTCCATGGTCGAGAAGAAAGCATTCCCCCCAAGGGCAGCCAAAGCATCGGCCTGGTGCGGCAGAGGATGTGCATCCTTCACAGTGCGTGCATTTAGCCATCTGAAATCTGTGCAAAGCCGCAGATCTCCGTTCTTCTTCCAAACAAGAACAAGAGGTGATGCATACTCACTCATAGACTTCCTTATGATCTCCCGCTCCTCCATCTCGTTCAAGGCCATCCTCAGCTTATCATAGTGTGAGGGCGACAGGCGACGATACGGTAGTCTGAAGGGTCTGCCATCACTCAGCCGAATCCGGTGAACAAAGTCTTTGGCTCTCCCACAGTCCAAACTAT